TATTGATCTTCTTTATCAATATATATTTTAAATTTGAAAATTGTGTTTGTATTCATCCCCCCCCCCTTCTACAACCTGTTTAGTATTCTTGTAGACCCTTTTGGGACCAACAGGGTCAAAATTGACCAGGCTTCTTCAATCTTCCTTAAATGGTCATGGAAGAGTATCTTTAAGTCTTATATCTGAGTTTAAGTTTATTAAAAAAGCATGTCCCGTAGTTGCTTAATAAAAGAAACTCTTGGTTCTATAGGACCATTATACTATTTGCCCATGGATGCCTATTTGTTATTTCCTTCTCTTTCAGCTAATTTGCATTGTTACTCCCTCATTTTTTTGCCATATACTAACATTTTTTTGTGCAGGTAATTAAGCTTGGTTTCGATATGGTCTTTTATGCTAATAATTTGGAGTTTGGTGGAAATCTTGGGTTTATTCACTTCTTTTGGAGATGTTCGTATTGCAGGAGCCACTTTGGTTGGTTTCTCCTTCTGTTTAATTTCAATGGAGAGGGCTTACACAGAGGATGCTTCAATCTCCAAAACCCGACACTTGGTTTGTCATTGGATATTGGGAAGTTAATGGTTTTGGAATCTTGGGATATATGGTTGGTCCCATGGTTGTTTCAATTTCAATTATGGAATATGGTGCTATTGGATCTGATTATGGTTTTAAATTTGAATTGGATTCATCAGGGGCTCTTTTTATGCATTTCATTCCTTTTGTCTTCATCCAACAAATTGGTTTCAGATCTTCAGTTGTATTCCAAAAAGCATGTACAAATCTATTTGTAGAAGTTGAAGATGGAGAATCAGTTTGTTTTTTTAAAACTTATCATATACAAGCACAGAAGCAAAAGTTCAAACTGAGATGACAGGGTTCAAAAACTTAGAGGTTTGTTTGGTTATTCTATTGTAACTTTTTTTATGTTGTGTTAATTTTTGGTCGGCTACCATAGGGATAATATAGTGTTGATCTATCATATTCATAGCCTTTGATTTAAAGGCCTTTGATTTAAAGTATGTTGTCAACTCACTTTATTCGAGAAAAAGAAAAATTGATAAGTTTTGTTGTTGTAACATATTGTTACTTGTTTGGGTAGATATTTGAATGGAGATCAAATCAATTGAGAGATACATTCATCAGAGAATGAGTTGTTTGAGAGAATTGAGTTGCTCGTTTTTCAGAGTGGTTGGGGTGGAATATATACATGATGCACAAAACATTCAAACAGACCATTCTATTTCTATAGGCATGTTTTGATGCAAAAAACATCCTTTTTTTATATTTTCTATCTACTTGCTGGTTGTTTTGATTAGAAGCTGACCCCGTGTACATTTTGCAGGTTTATGTTTTTTGTTTATAACTTGATTGTTGGTTGATTTATGTTTTTATTTTGTTGATTGTTTATAATCGATGATATGAACTATGTAAGTTTTTAATTGTTGTATTTCATCCTGATAATTGAGTGTTCATTTGAATTTTATTCATAAAGCTGTATAAGTTTCTTGATGCGTTTGAGTACTAAACTGAGATTAAATTGATCAACTTGTGATTGGCAGGGGATTTTGTTTCTCAAGTAAATTGTGATGAGAAGGGTATTGAAATATGAAGACGATTTTGCTGAGCTATATGGATGGAGTTGTACATGATATAGCGAATTCAATATGGCGTAGAGAGGTAAGGGTACAAAAGCATAACACATCATCAAGTAGTTGTTCTCTAAAAACAACAAATCATTGTGCCAAACTACAGGTTGAAACTGCGATCTCAAGTTGATAAATACCACTTAGATGCTTCTTGTAATTTACTCTTTGATTATTTAACGGTCAATATGTGCTATCAATGTCTGGGTATGATATAATCACAATATTGCTTTATTTTAATGGTAATTTTTATGTATTGTGTTTTTACTTATGAACATTTTATTAATTTCCTATTACCAAATGTACAACTTATTATTGTACATACAACTTCTTAAAAGATTTCCAATCCACTTGATATATTCCTTCAGCCATAAAAGATTTCCAAAAGGTGATGTTTACCTTGTGGAATAGACTCTCATATTAGCATGTTCACGAAACTCTTACAAGATAAGTGTTTGATAAACGGCCTCTTAGACTCTTGTGAGGACAATTGAGGAGCGTATTGTTAATTTATATATCTATTATACAAGGGGTTGTATGTTGCCATGTATCAGCATGGCTCAGATTCAAATGGGTGTGTATGATGTTGGTTTTGGAAAGGGCACCACCACGTGGTTGTAAGCAGAAATTTAGACGTAGTTTCGACCTTGGGTAGAAATGGAAACGGCCATGGATGGTTTGTTTAACGGAGAAACCTTTGTTTGAGTCATCTACATGCCATGTTCACACGTGTGTATGTAAACTACAAAAGCGAACACTTTTACCGACAGAAAAATACGCCGGTGGTTCATTCTGTCGATAAAAGTCATCACCGAGGTATTGAAATCATACCCAGGACTTGATATGAAGCCAAACAAACAGTTTCGGGTGAATTCTTTTTTATTTGAAAATAAGACATTTGAATGTCAATGTGCATAGAAATATGTTGTTAGTACTTATGAGTAAGAAATTCCAAACATGCTTTTATATTATTGTCCCACTGTCTTTCAACAATGGTTGATCTTCATCGATGTTATTAACATGTCTCTGACACATTTCACGACTTTGTCCACCAAACATTTGATACCATGTGGTTAAAAACTTGTTCAATGTTTTATAGTTCTTTCTTTCTTTCTATAAATACCTCCTTTAATTATCTAAATTCCACTTCACAGATACGAACAGATAACCAGAAGGATATTATAGTTATAAGAGAATCATAAATGGCTATTAACAAGTGGAGCATCATCTTCCTCTTAACAATAATAGCACCTCTAACCACTTCAATTTCAACCAAGTAGTTTATTGTTGGTGACGACAAAGGTTGGACTCTCAACATCGATTATCAAGCTTAGGCCAATGGCAAGCAATCTGCGTTAGCGATCAACTTAGTATGTGTCCCATTATAGAGTGAACTGTGAACCTTAATAACACCTTATACATACATACACACACACACACACACACACACATATATATATATACTTACACGCATATATATATAGGGAAGGGTTCAAACGGGAACCCCTATGATTTACGAGAACGCGAGAACAGCCTGTTAACCTCATATTATGATAAAAAAATAAAATTAAAAGATTTTTGAAATTAAAATTGAAATTTAAAAAGATTAAAAAAAACTAAGATTAAAAGGGTAATAATGGAAATTAAGATATTGGTTTCCAAATGTCAGAAGTATAAGGAGGTTTCAGATTCAAATCCAAGAAAGAATAAAAATCCTCTTGCGGCCACAGAGGTTCAAATGCGGCCACAGAAGTGGTCGTCCTGGGATTAGTCGGCTCGCATAGTGGGTTGGATATCCAGATTAATAAATAAAAAAAAAAAAAAGATTCCCCAATGAATACCAGAGAAAACATAAGGTCTAGCTTAGATTATTAGGGATTATTAAGTACATAAGCAATCCTCATCTAGCTTTGATGGCTAGCTAAGTCTAACACTTTCTTAATATCAATATGTTTAGTTTACAAGATGAACAGATCTTTTATTTCAATTACAATACAATCCCACCTGCACAAAGTACATATTTCCAGCCAATTTCTTCACTTCAGAAAGGTGATTGATTCTAGTCAAAACTACCATGCGAAGCTCGAATTAGCGGTGAGTGGCAAAAACCTATACTCCATGGAAAGATATCGTCTTGGGAATGAAACGTATTCCCGCCTTTTGGAAGGAGAATGCTTTCGGAATTCAGTTTAAATATCTCTTGAGATACATCATCATCGTCATCATCATCATCGATAAGCACAACCCTAGCCCTCTTTGTAGGTCGAGATTCATGGATATGGCGTGTGTCGACTTCAGAATCAGATTCAAAATAATCGTTGATGATGGACTCGGATTCATCGCAAAGCGAAGGTAGGGATGTAAGAGAGATTGGTTTGTTGGTTTTTGCAATTGGCCTGGTTTTGTAGTCCTGTGCTATTCTCTCAAGAAATCTTGATTGTGCTTCGATTTTTAGCTTCAAATTCTTTTGAACCTGATATACAAAAATACTTTTTTCAGCGAGTTTCGAAGATCTGAGAGACAACTATCTAAATGAAAAAAGATATTAATAAAATCAAAATACTTTTGCAGGCGAATTAGTGTCATCGGTAAAAGTGTCATTAAAATATATCACTACAACAAAATTGGGTTTATAGGACAATCTCAATCTCTAAGTGTTCCAATAGACCATTTTATAGAACTTAATTTATAAGACCAAAATATAAAGCGTCCTATCTAAAGGTGTTGTAATAAGTTTATATGACGTTTTTGGGTGTCTTAACAAGTTTTTTAGAATATTTTTAATACAAAGTGTCACATTAGCAACTTTATATGACACTTTTGAGAAAGTGTCCTATAAACTCAATTTTTTATAGGACATTTGTTTTTATATGACAATTTTTCAAATAGTGTCCTATAAAGTTGATAATGGAATGTTTTATATTAAAAGTGTCCTAAAAAATTTATTACGACGTCAAAAAACGTCATATAAACTTATTACAACACCTTTAGACATGACACTTTATTTTCTTGGTCCTATAAACTAAGTCCTATAAAGAGGTCTATTAGGACACTTAGAATTTGAGAGTGTCCTATAAACCCGATTTTGTTGTAGTGTATATATTTGCCGATGGAATTGGGAAGTCTGTCCTTGGTAAGAGTAACTCTTACAAGGGCTTGCACATTTTTTGCCATTGACATTCTTTGTCGGCAAAAAGGTTAAATTTTACTTGCGGTTTGTTTTAAGGCGCAAGTAAAAGTTACTTTTACCGGCGGAGCTCCCAAACCTGTCGACAAAACTACAGTTTCTCGTAGTAACTTGACAATATGATCTATATTACCTCGAGTTGATCGCTCAAGCGCCTTTCAACTTCCATTTGCATTTGTAATGCTTCATTGAGCTGAATACCCCTAAACACATGAAGAAATTGTTTATCGGATATGAACTGAACTTTCTAAACGTGCATACGGATTGTTTTCTTCAGGGTCGTTTGACTCATTTCAATGTTATTGAATCGAGGTTATGTACCAAAAACTATAGATCGGCTAGAAAAGTAATAAATAAAACAAAATATAAAAATTCATATCATATATATTATATTGAAACTTAAAAGTCTTACTAATTAAAATAACAAAACTGTTATAAAATGACAAAGTAACATCAAATTCATATAAAAATATCATTCTTTTAATATTTATCAAAATTAAAATCGAAAATTATCAAACCAACTAAAAGAGTAAAAGTATAAAACAATATATAATTGGACTAAAACATGTATTACATGGCTAAAGTTCAAACGGGTGTATTTAAGTAAAAGTTAAAACATATATAATTAGGTGGCAAATTGCATAAAAAAGTAACGTGCTTTAACTTAATTCCTATTTTGGGTAACGTACTTTCAAAACTTCTATTTTGGTATCTCAGATGTAAAGTTTTAAATATTTAAGTATCCGGAGTAATCGGTTGAAGACTAATTTTAGATTTAACAAAATACATGTCACTAACTACGTCAGCAAATAATACTGAGTTGGATACCACATCAGCATGATAACCGGTTAATGTTTTAACCGGTTACTCGGGTACTTACATGTTTAAAACTTTACATCTTAGGTACAAAAATGGAAGTTATAAAAATACGTTACCCAAAATAGGAATCAAGTTAAAGCACGTTACTTTTTCATGTAACTTTCCCATAATTAGGCCCCAATTTTACGTCATGTTTAATATTTCACGTTGGAACACCCTCCTAAATCCGGACAACCCTATCTTCCATTTAGATAAAAGTGTGTCCTCCCAAAATCTTACATCTCATCAATCATTAGATTCTCCCTCTGATCTAATGATGCATATTCAAGTGATTATACTCAACAAGAATGAAACGTGAGAATTTGATACAAGAGGATACATCCGTGGACATTACCACCATACATATATACATGCAATATATATGGAGATATATATATATATATATATATATATATATATAGAGAGAGAGAGAGAGAGAGAATATGAATGAGTGAGAGAGATAACCCACGATGTTTTGCTAAAGTGGGGAAACATTTCTGATAAGCTTCTTTTCTCAAATTTGTCTCCTGCATATATATATCGTAATTAATTAGCAACATACACTACAACAAAATCGGGTTTATAGAACACTCTTAATTTTTAAGCATTTTAATAGACCTCTTTATATGACTTACTTTATAAGACCAAAAAAATAAAGTGTCATATCTAAAGACGTTGTAATAAGTTTATATGACGTTTTTTGACGTCTATAAGTTTTTTATGACACTTTTAATATAAAATGTCCCATTAACAACTTTATAAGATACTATTTGAAAAATTGTCCTGTAAAAAACAAATGTCCTATAATATATTGAGTTTATAAGACACTTTCTCAAAAATGTCCTATAAAGTTGCTAATGCGACACTTTGTATTAAAAATGTCCTAAAAACCTGTTAAGACACCCAAAAGCGTCATATAAACTTATTACAACACCTTTAGATATGACGTTTTATATTTTGGTCCTATAAAACGGTCTATTGGGACGTTTAGAGATTGGGGTGTCATATAAACCCAATTTTGTTGTAGTGATAAGCAGCGGATCGATAGAGGAGGGCTTTCAATCTGTTGAATCATATATATATATATTTCTTAAATTTACGTATTCTTAAAACTAATTACCTTTCGATGATTCCGGGATGAATTTCGACATCCTATACTTCTGCATAAACGTACCCTTTGTTAATTTAATGTACCCGAACTCTTTTATATCATCAACTAGATGACTGAAATCTGTATGTATATATATATGTATATATATAGAGAGAGAGAGAACCTGTAAATGGCTTTTGACATGGTAGATTGTGAGTCCTGCTATTCCCATTGTCTTCAATATACCCTTTGGTGTTGCCCCTACAAATTCAAACAGCCAACCACGGTTCAATCCGACCAAAACCATCACGAAAAATTACTTCATTCAAGATCATTGTTTATGAACACGTGAAACGAATCACGCAACGCCTAAAAGAACGCTTTCGTCACACGAAAAAAGTTTAAGAATACTTACTATCAGGGCCGCCAAGCTGATCAACCGCCTTTTCGAACAGATCATGGAGTTCTTGAGTCCATTTCAATCGTTCTTTCCTCAAGCTATCGTCGCAATTTGTACCCATATCTCCGAGGATAGTTTTCACCCTGGAGCGAACCCGTTTCAGGGATTGCACAAAGCAGAAGACAAGTGTTGGGATGGTTAATAAAAGGAAGAAGAAAACACAGAAACAGTCCAAGAGATGTTTCCTAGAAAACCATGGCGATTTGGTCTAAGGAAGGAAAGCAAGTGTACGGAATAAACCAAGTGAAGATTTTGTAGAGTTCCAAGCTTCTCAAATTCATTTTCTTGTTTTCGTTATCACTGCAACAAAGCCAATGTTAGGAAACATGACTGTTCTAACAGACTATTTAATTATTTTTTTAAATGCATTTTATACAAATTGTATTACTATAAATTGTTAAGAAATTAGGTATTACAATAAATTGTTAGGTGTCTCGTGTAATAAATTTTTGACGGAATTCATCATGTGCTTTAAAAATTAATGTTAATTAATTTCAAAAAACCCATAGGAAATCAATCAGGGACGGATCCAGAATTTTTTTCAAATGGTGGCACCATTTGACTATAAGAAAAAAACTATAGCGAAAAAAATTCAAACAGTGGCACCGGTTGATTATAAGAAACAAATATATATGGAATTTTTTTCAATCGCTAGCACTATTTGACTAAAAAATGACACTAACAAGATTTGAATTTGGTTCTAGAGTGGAATAAAAGTCTTGCAAACCAACTCTACCAAATAAAATTTGTTCTCATTGTAGTTTCAAAATACATACGGTGGCACACAACATATTATTACGGTTGTACCTCTCACGAACCTAAAAAATTTTACCCTTCGACGGAAAAATAATACGGTGGCACATGGTAGGTCCGCCCATGAAATCAACTACGTATTTATGACGGAATCCATTATCTGATTTTAAAAGATAATTTGTAATTAATTTTAAAAATCGTCAGAAATTCTTTCTAAGAATTTCTAACGATTTTCGGCTAATCCGTCATTTTATCTTAAAAAATAAGTTCTTTTAATTAATTAAAAAAAATATTGTTGGAAGTCCCTTGGAAATTATGGATGTCCTATGGAAAGCATTATTTGATTTTTTTTTTAGTAGTTTTTTAAAATCGAAGATTTTTATCATTTTCCTACGAATTTCCTATCGAATTTTTCTAAAATAAACTCATGTTTTTCTCCGTTTTGAAGTTAATGCACACATACCTACACACATTAGTATTTTAATTAGTGTGTCTTATTACGTATTCTTGAATTCATATATATTTATGGGTTTTTAGACGTGACTCGCTATTTTATAATTACGTATGCATGTTTTTAGACGTGACTCACTATTTTATATATAGTTAATGTATATATGATCATTTTGCATCAATCTATTCGAACCAATATTGTTCCATTAAGAAACCATAGAATTCGTCGAAAATCTAAGAATTTTCCTACTGATTCTTGAAGAAATGGTGATTTTTTCAATTGATTCTACAAACCCATCGAAAATTTATCAGTGATTATATAAATTTTCGACGAACATTTTAAAAAACTACTGTTTTCTATTCGACTCGAAGCTATTACATACACCACATAATTTTTATATTAGAATTTGTTTTTGTAAATAAAAGATTTTTTATCGAAAATCAGTCATAAATGAATACCACCAAAAATCCGTTGAAAATCAGTTGCAAAGGGACATCGAAAACTCATCGTTGTTTACCAAGGCTTTCCATATGAAATTATATGTCATTAGAAATACTTTCAATTCCGTTGAAAGATCATCGAAAAAAACTTCTGACCAAAAAATTTCCAACGGACGTTGTATATTTTCATTTTTACTTCGTTTCGACCTACCTTGTGTATATTTTCATTTTGTCTTGTAAACATTTCGTCTTTGTATATGTGAATTGTCTACGTCTTTGGACGCTCCGTCGTTTTCATTTTCGTTTTATTTTGGATTTTTATATTTTTATTTTATCTTTTTCCCTTTAAATGTATTGAGGCTGCTGGTATCAATATAGAATGCTTGTTTTTGTCAAACAACTTTATGGTCACCATAATTTTTAATTCATACATTATCATGTGTGATTATTTTTAATAAATTTAGAAAGAAAAAAACAAATTTCAAGTAAATACAAAAAATAAAAAATAAAAAAGCCTGTATTTTTAGTGATAGTGACACATGTGATTTTTCTTTATGAAATAAGACAGAAAAATTAAATTGAATTAAAATTAGTGTTTTCAGGTTTTTTTGGCTTTCCTCAGAATAGCAGATTTTTAAGTTGGAAAAGACTCGATCCTTGTTTCAGTCATAATGAGTCTCCGAGACCCTGGGACATTGGCTTTTGCCAACAATGAACTATTAATGATCGCATCATGTGCATATTCTATAGTATAGCCTGCAACTGATCCAGTTTCCGCTTCTGGGAGATCAAACGGAGCTTGATTTGTTTCTGCTAGACAAGAAATAAAGAACATAATCGATACAGGGAACAAGGGAATACCGGACCATATATGCTTTTGTGCCATGACAATCTCATTCGAATTACGGGGACCTACATATATTAGTACAGTATACCGGGTCCCTGGCCAGCATCGCAAGCTCAAAAAATAGTATAATAAAAACAAAATTGTCTTTTGATAAAATAATCTCGCTTTGGCCAACTTTTCCCCAAATAGTCTCATTTAACATGTCTCAAGCTTATGTCATGCTAAACACGAAATAAATAATTTTTATATTCATGTATCAAACGCAATCTTGATATACAATTGATTGTGAATATTTATTCATATTTGTATATGCATTACAAAACCAAGAATGAAGTATCCATAATTTCAAATTGAGTCAATCATCTTTTCGTAGAGTTTTCGCGCTTCATTTTAATTATTAATGATAGATGAATAGTTATTCGACAAGGTTATAAACGTAAATTTGACAAAAACATACATATATTGACTGTATAGTTTTTCATTATTATGTTGTATGACGCCACCTTCTTAGAGGTCATCCCTATTGGTTTTCGGCGAAGGTTTGTGTGAGAAGGAGAGCGAAGGTAAGAAGCGTAAGAAGAAGTCCAACTTTGATCTCAAACCCATCCATGAATTGTGCTTTATATGGGGGATTGATCTGGTAGATCTCATTGCATCTCATCCTAATATGCATCCAAGGATGGAGATTACTTCTTACGCTTATTACCTCAATTCTCCTTCTCACCAGGACCCAACCTATTGGTCTCACAGTCATAGGGGTCAAATCACATTTCCCTGAAGGCAAATGGGTGGTATCAAAAGTCAAACCCTAAACCTTCCGAACATCTCTACACCCACATTCTTCCCTAAGAGAAATTGGTTTGAGTCCCTCTAAGGCTATTGTACGTAAGCTGACCCTGACATCCACAATTTAAAAAAAAAAGACCTCCGGGGCTTGAATGCAAAACAGGGTTATAGATACAATTATACAAACCTCAATTCATACTGTGCTTCAAGATCCAACAGTGCCAAGAATGTTGCAGTAATAAGCATCAACCATAAGCACCTATGCCACAATCACACACAACAACAGTCATGAGCCAAACTAAACGAGCCCAGTATATCACATCCAAAAATAGGTTGTAAAGAGATGTATACAGACATGTCTTATATATTCTACTTTGTAGAATATAGGGCTCCAAAGTTTTTGTGATGCTTAAGATATTGTAGTATTTTGACTTCCTAGTTCATATAGGTAAAGATCAAACATCATAACCACACCCAAGCAACATGTGACATCTTTCTTTTCAAAATAATATAATATCAATCATCTTTGTCATTCAAACCATTGATTTAGGGGGGAAAAGTCATCAATACATTTTTATCCGGACAGACGGCTTAACAAGTATAGGGCTTAATGGAAGAAAAAAGTAAATGGGGCCCCCAAGGCGAATAGAATCAATAAGATTAAAGCCATAATCTTGTGTGTGTGTGTGTGTATATATATATTATATAGGTAGAGTGCCAAATGAGAACACCTCCATTTCACAAGATCGAGAGAACACACTTATCACACGTGATGTGACCGGATGGTGTGCGAACGACATGCCTTGCAACTTAGGTCGCGCCAAAGGTCGGTTGCGTTTATGATTTAGTATCATATATGATGGTCTTGATGGATTATGGTATCATATCATAGACCCTCTTATCACATGTGAAGGGCCTAATTGGTGTAAGGACGACTTGGCCCGCAACTAAAATCATTGCCAAAAGTTGTTCACATCTCTGATTTAGTATCATATATAATGGAATAATAGTATCACAATTGATTGTCTATAGTAAAAGGATGTATGCACGTTCTCGTAAAATGAAGGTGTTCTCGTTTGAACCCTTCCTTATATAGGTATATATTATATATATATATATATATATATATATATATATATATATATAAGTAGCATAAAGAACAAGGACTCAATTAAGAGGCTGAAGGTGTGCATTTCAACCCCTTTGGGCATATGTTATCAACAGTCACAATAAAAAGAATACATTACAGACATTTTTTTTTCGTTTGTAACATGGCCATCGCTACTTTCTGTTAGGCATCTCGGCCGTTAATGTTTTTTTCCTCATAATCGTTTCTATGGCCTACCTCTTTTCATGCTGCAAGAAGGGCATTTGTACTGTTTTATGCTCTCGGCCTTGGCTGGGGTAATCTTTACGCATTTTCCATGGTACCACCTTTCACATATGTCGCACCCGATCCAGAACTCGTCAGCATTGTAATTTCCACCACAGCTACCACATTGTGTGTCACCATGTTCATCCTCTTCCTCCTCGTAACTCTCATCTGCTAGCTTTTGGACACTTTTGACCTGTCCATCGCTTGATCTCTGCAATATAGTTGATTTTAGATTAAATTATATTATGGTTAAGATAATATAGAGTGGTAAACTGGTCTTTGGTCAAGTGATGGGACCTGCCATTCGTGTGTATGGCCCATCAAATCACCAAACCAAACAAGCACGGTATATTCCACCCGAGGGTCGGTTTTAGGGGGTGAAAATGTACAGAAATCTGACCTCTACCCCAAGGTGTAGAGCAGTTGTTTTCGAGAAAGGCTCATTGAATCACCATGGGTTGGTTGCATCACAAAGACAAGAAGCCATTGAGCCGCCATTTTAATATAGAGAAGTGACCAAGGAATCAACCCACCAAATTTTGCGTTCTTGAGTCGAAATTTATCATACATCCAGGTTTTAACTTTATCGGACCTTATAAGGCCGGAGAGAGATTCCGCCTCATTGGATAACATGAGTTCTAAATGTGTTACGAGTTTCACTGCTTTCAGAAGAGCCTCAAATTTGGGGGTATTCTAAAGTACATTCATGATTCAAGTAATCTGACCTTTACGCTGCCCTTTGCTTTGCTTCCGCTCTCTGCTGCACTAGGCTTATCTTTTAAGGGTTTCCTTTCTGATACAACTTCAAAGACGGTGGGCATCTCGTTAATCAAGCTAAACAGACGCTTCCTGTCGAAAACAAGGAGATATGATAACATGAGTCCTTGAAATAACCAGGCTTGTTCAAGGAGCCACAATCCACAAACAGATGAGACAAAAAAGATTATCAACAGTGAAGTCTAGTATATCAATTTCAACATTGAAATACGTCCCAGGAACTCAAAAAAATATGTAAAAGAAGTCGTTTAGTGAAGCTACTGAAACATCACAAGGTTTGAGAATAATTCCACCCTTTGGCTGAAAAATATAACGACCCACAGACTTCATGTAACCATTTGTCACTATATTTATGCATCAATTCCTTTCAATGTTGATTGTTAATTTTTTGTGCGCATGTTACTATAGGCTGCTAGAATCGAATCAGTTGTTAATAATTATATCTAGTTTATTACAAAATGTTTTAAACATACAAAGCATATAGATAGTTAGAAGAACACGACCCCAGCAAGACAAGTATAAAGAAGCATACTCTTAAGTATGAGGAGATACCGATCAACATGAAAGATTTGAAATATCAAACCAATGTTTGTCACCTAGTTTGAATTAAGGTGCTATGAACTGAATTCTAGACATAAGTTTAAGTTTGAAATAAACTCCCCATAGGTCAGCAGTGTGAGTCTCCTCAGGGCCACTGGGATTTCCTTGCTGTTATCTTCAGGTCCCCATGGGACACGGTTTTTTTTTTAAAGCATCCATGAATAGAGGATCAACCTTTTCGCTTTTGAAAAGTATGTCAGAGTGCATTCTGAATGTAACAGTCAGCTGGGAAGCAAACTCAGTTGCCAACTAGATTGCAAACTAAAGCCTTTGCTGCAAGATAGGCCACAGTTTCTTTATGTATGATGCAATAATAGTTCAACCTCCTACAGGCGCTGAATTAAGGGCAGAGCGAATCCCAATTCTTGTTAGTTCAATTATATCTTGGTTCCATGTCAGTTGGTTTATACTTGATACCTCCAAGTTTTTTTTTTTAAGTATATAATACTTATATACGGCAAATGCAAATAAACTCACACACCCTCCTCACATTTGGTGAGGTTTGAACCCCTGACCTCCTAGGAAGCCAAAGGCTATGATACCACTAGGCCAAAGACTCTTTGGTATATACCTCCAAGTTTTCATCATCAAACTTCTCCATATTGGTATGATTATTCTATGGAGTCGCTCTGCTTCAAGCAATTTGATTTTTTACAGCTTCATCCATATCCGAAAGACTATTTGCTAAGTGTTTCTATTCAACTTACATTGACAGAAGTATAACACAGGAATTTTCATTTTGCTTATCCATACAATTTATAAAGGCATTTTCCCAGTATCTGCCTAAGTAGGAATACAGGTTTTGGTGTTAACTCCTACCCCCTCCATCCCAAATAAAATGCAGAGATTTACTTGGCACATCGATCAATAAAAATGGTGACTAGAGATTAAATGAATAGGAACAAAATAGAAGAAATTTGTGGACTTAAATTAAAGTTACTAATTTCAAGCAAAGATTACTACGACAAAAAAAACAAGGATCAAAAAACTAACAGAAAAAGGAAACCTTGCATTCTTTCTAGGACGAACAAAAATGGAAAGTGTTACACTTTTTGGGACAGATGAAGTGAAAAACAGGTAGGAGAGTTCCTAAATCAATTGTCAATTTCTCCTAAATCTTAAGTTGAATTTATTTCATGCTAGTCAGAGAACAATTACCCTGCAAGATTATAATAAGGGTTACATAAGGGTAATTAGGGGTCAGATTATTATACACCATCCCCAAGAAAACGAGTCCACTTCTGATTTTGAAAGTTAAATCCAACAATTTTCAGATTCAAATCTAACACAAAGATCTTTGGTTTTGTGAACTCCAAAATACTCGTATTTCAATATTTTTAATTGGTGAGTTCAGTTTTCTTTTCTTCTCTTTTTTTTTTTTTTTGCTTGAATTCTGTTATTAACTTCAACATTGTGAAGTGAATCATTTGATACTCAAAAATCAAACATGGACTCTGTTGCTACAGATAGACTTACGCTCAGAAAGATAAATAAACTGGGTACCCAAAATTTGTAAGCAGGCTCATAACTCTTGTTCATTGGTTACACCTTCAGAGACAACATCAGGCGAATTAAGAAACTAACATGCTACCAACATAATATAACAATATCAGGCAAATTAAAAAAACTAACATGCTACCAACATAATATAGAAATATATGACCACACTTATAAATAACAATAGCACTCGAAAGAAACACCTAGAATTAGACGAAATATACAAACATTTCCATAGAAAAACCAACAAAAGAGCAATGCCTAAAACTGAAAAGACCACTCTGGTCTAGAATGTCCTTAAGTAATAAAAAGCTTCAATTGTCACCCCAGTTTGCAAATGCCACCATATCATGCCTTTTACGACTTATACATATTGACAAGAAACATGACAGTCTGAAATACATTATATTACGATTGCAGTTCAAGCATGCATAATTTATTCGTTTTTGTCCTTGAAAATAATTCCTATTAACAAGCATAAAAAGAACAAAAACTATGAAGGATCTTACACACTTAAAACACACATTCTTCGTTATGGCATCCAACATTTATCAGTTGGGACACGGTAACAAGCCGTCTCCAGATCAACCATGACAAATTCAATATACAAGCACTGAAAGCCTGTAAATGTTCAAAGCAGAGGAGCCTTCCAAAGACTAAAGTTGCCAATCCAAGTCAAATGGAGAAACCTTGCATTCTCACCATCACATGCATATAAACAAAGCAAACGAGCATAGTATATCCCACCCAGAGGTGGGGTCTAGGAGCGGGATGTACGCAAGCTTGTCCTCTACCCCAAAGAATAGAGCGGTTGTTTCCATATATAGAATTCGTCCAGTGCATCAATGAATCCAAGAGAGAGTGTATATTAAATAATCGATGATGACCACAAGAAGGAACTTAAAAGATGCAGTCTTTATAAGAAAACTGTGACTAATATTTAATCACTTGATATCATTAACACGTTTGAAAACCCAGTCATGTGGTTCACAGTATGTTCTTATCACATGACCTCCACAAAGCAGTTGGAGTCATCCAGAAGCTCCTCAATGAATAAGGGAGAAACAAACAAAAAAGAATATATATGAGCTTTATGTCAATTGTTAATTCACAAAAGAAAAAGGAATGCTGTCAAGTTCCTAATCTCCAAAGGTTTTAGGAAGTCGGATTGATTTTTGGTTTTTAACCAACAAAACTAAAATCGTCACATTGAAGCATGAAGCTGGAAAGTAAACATATTTAGACCAAGTAGATCAAAAATGTTAGAATGAACAAATGCAAACAATTATATAAAACTCGAAAGCCAGCAAAGCACAAAATGCATCAAACGAATCACCATCTTACATCAAGGGTGACCATCAAATGAAAGTACCTCTCATTACGATTTAGCCGCGCTCCAAGATAGAAAGCCACAGAGAGCAACCAACAGTCACTATGGACTGCAACCAGCGACAGCCAATCTTTGCGATTCATGCCATCCCTTGCAAAGTTTATTCCGAGAGCTGGCTCAGGGAGCTCCGGAGGAACTTCCTCTGCAGGAAGAGTGACTTCCCAACTTTCATTTGGATGTCCATACAGACACAAGTTCTCTTTTTCTGAAACCACCAGAACACTGATTTAATAGGTTAAAGAAAGAATCTTGCAACGCAAATAGTAACACAAATTAGATTAGAATAAAAACTCCCCCACCATGTAAAAAATTAATAGTAAATATATCAAGGCTATGCAAGGATTTGTTCTTGTATACCCTATAAACCATTTAAATTGCTCACAGAGAATTTATAAAGCATTAGACCATGTTAGCTTTATTTCAAGATTCAAGCTTTACCATTTGCACCTTCTATCAACAGAAGTTTTTTATATAAAAGAAAATGCACTTTATAATTATTTGCCTAAGCCATTTATACCCAAATCTGGCAATTGAAAATTGTGATCAAGTAACCCAACATTAACCACTTCACAAACCAGCTTAAAAAGAAGGGCCTCGTTGCTAAATGCGCTGAAAATTAGATAAAATATATACACAATTGTCTATTCTGAATACAATCCTTTCTTAAAATTAAAAAAATATGAAGTTATATCATTCAAAGAGGAAGTATAAAATATTTCATAACCAGGACAAGTATTTACCACATAAGTTTACTTTCTTGAAAAATGTAAATCAACCAATACACCAAACAGAGAAATTTGCTGCGCAAAAAATAAACTTTGGAATTGCAAGGAGCTGTTGCTTGGGCAGTTTACAATATGGGAAATTACTCTGCTGCTTTGGCCACTAATTTTCTTCAGATTGAGGAGGATGGCATTCAACCCGGACGGAATAAGCAAGTAAGGAATGATCACGTGCCAACTAGAGTATGGTTCTTTCTTTGGTTAACTATTCATCATGCCATACCAACCAAAGAGGCCCTGCTACAACCGAATTTATATCCAATTGAATGATTTCGTATATTTTGGTGCACCAAAGATGCTGAATCAGTGCCACACAATTGCTAAGTTGCAGCTGGTTTCATGCAGTGTGGACATCTGTTTTCAGTTGGTGGAATATAAACAGTACTATCCCTGGAGACTTGAATCAATTTTTCATCAATTGGAACAAGGGTGTCATCAGAATTTTGAGGAAGTTTTTGAGGATTACCACTCCACAGGCAATATGGATGATTTGGCTAGCACGAAACCATGTGGTTTTGAAGGAAAGATTTGTTTGCAGGGTGGCGAAGGGGGCTAAAATCAAAAGCAAATTCATTCACTTGGTCTATTGCAAACAGCAATTGATTCAGAAAGGGCCTGGCATCTAATGATGAGTCTCAGTTATTTGGCTAGTTTTTTATTGGAAAACGAATTTCTGAGTGGGAAGATGGTCTTTCAAAGCATTTTTGGGTGGGAAGATGGTCTTTGAAATGGTGAAGGAGATTTAAGTTTCAATCTTGCATTAATCTGTAAACTGATGCTTCAATTCCATTTGAACCTGTTTCACTCGTACATATGTTACTTCTGCTATGAACTGTTAAGATTGTTTGAAAATTTATCAACTTCATCAATCTCCATTTACAACTTAAAATATTGGTCTAACTTTTCAACAAAACCCAAAACCAATTTTTGACTAATAATGTACTAGGTCTGCCATCACAACTAAATTCTGCACACACGAGCATACTTAAATAACCATACATCTCCTTGTGTTCATATGTGCAGGCATTTTGAAAACTCAATTCCAACCGATCTGCATTTACGAAATAACTACTGAAATTGGAAATTACCTGGGTCACAAATTCCATAAAATTCATCAACATCTGCGCAAATTATAAGGAAAAAAAACAAGTCAGCGACTTAAAACAGAAAAAAGGGAAAGTTATAAATTAGGGCTAGCGTTATAGATTAAATTACCATAAGTCAAAGCACGAACTATGCCTGCACGGCGACCGCTATAATCTTTGAAGATCTCTTCAACAGTACGAGGGCTGGAAGAAATTGAAGCCATTTCCATATAAAATTAAAAAGTTAGAAACAAAAATCAAGATCCGGATGATGTAATTTCAAATTGAAGTCTACAATTTATTGACTATGCTATCTCTGTCGTCTGTTCTGTGCAGAGATCGGCTACCGAATTAATCCCAATTTTGAAATCAGATGAGAGAGAGAGAGAGAGAGAGAGAGAGAGAGAGAGAGAGAGAGATGCTTGTAAGAGAATCTAAAGCAAAGACGAAAGGAGGTAGAATTTGCTATGGGCACTCCTTAATATTTATTGGTAAACATAATCCCAAATCAATGTTCTTACAGTTAATTTTTAGGAAATTGCTCAATAGTCATTTCAGTTTTATATATTTACATTTTTAGTCCCTGTACTTATAGACCATGTTCAAGAAACATTTTTTTTTATATTTTAACCCCTAAGCAAGTTAAGGAGTTGCTATTTTGAAGAGGCAGTCACATTTTAGAAATTTTAGGAGAAAAATGGCTAAGAGGTGACTTGTCTGAGAGAAATGTGATATTTTGGGAGAAAAATGGTGTTCGTATGGTTGTAAACGAACCGAACGTTCAGCGAACCGTTTGTGAACCGTTCGACGGAAAGTTCGTTTATGTTCGTTTATTTAATAAATGAACGGACATGAACAATTTTTTATTCGTTTAATTAAACAAACGAACATGAACAAGAGTCTCGTTCGTTCATTTATATTCGTGAACGTTCGTTCATTTACCGTTCGTTTACGTTTGTTCGTTTATGTTCATTTATATATTAAAATTAAGGGAAAAAGTCTAAAAAAACCCAATGGACTTTAGTGTTTGGAATGATTAAGTCCTTGGACAATTTTTTGAAACACACAAGTCCTTAGACATTCCAAAACATGTTAAATAACTCCTTGGACAATTTTTTGGAACAAATAAGTCCTTGGACAATTTAAAACATGTTAAATAACTCATTGGACAATTTTTGGAACAAATAAGTCCTTGGACAATCCAAAACATGTTAATTAACTTCTTGGACTTTTCTAAAACCTGTTGAATACATTCTTATGACTTGTACAACTAGTTAAAGTGGTAAAATAGTGACAAAAGTCCGAAAAAAACCCCAATAAACATTCATATTTTGAACGATTAAGTCCCTAAATATTTTTTGAACCAAAAAGTATTT